GTATGCAGGAGGAGTAGCGTGGCGACATGGGAGAAGACGGAATAAGTTGAACAATAATAATATTAAAGAGAAACAGGAAAACAATAGTTCAAACCTTCAAATTAAACCAATAGAAAACTAACAACAGGTTTTGCTGGATTTGGCTTCTGTGTTTTAGTGATGTAAGATCTGGTTTTACTCCAGAAACCATAGATGAGCTGCTTTTTACGATCTATTTCACTCCAAATTAAATTATTATAAGCTAAATATCAAACATCAATAAAATAAGACTTATGTGAATCACGTCTCATAGATGTTTCGCCCCCTGCTGGTCACTGGACGGAATGTAGGGTCAGTCTCTTAATATTTTGGTAATATTTTTTGTTATTTATTTCATCCACTGTCACTGTAAAAATAGGAACATTTCAGAAATTATAAAATAAATGAATTTGTTTTTCAGCCTGGCTGTACCAACGTCTGCTACGACCACATCTTCCCCATCTCCCACATTCGCCTTTGGGCGCTGCAGCTGATCTTCYTCACCTGCCCGTCCCTGATGGTGATGGCTCATGTGAAGTACCGCGAGGGGAAGGACAGGAAGCARGTGGAGCTGCACCAAGGCTCCCATCTGTACGCCAACCCCGGCAAGAAGCGAGGGGGTCTGTGGTGGACGTATCTGCTGAGTTTAGTCTTCAAGGCCGGATTCGACGCGGCGTTCCTCTACATTCTGTATCGGATCTACCACGGATACGACCTCCCCAAGTGAGCCCCGTAGCTTCRTCTCAAATYAAACCCAAGCAGTTCTTCAGGTTTTAATCTGTTTTTCTTTTGTCAGCTTGTCCAAGTGTTCGATAGAACCATGCCCCAACACCGTGGACTGCTTCATCAGCCGTCCCACAGAGAAGAAGATCTTCATGCTGTTCATGGTCGTGTCCAGTGCGCTCTGCGTCTTCATGTGCCTCCTCGAGATGATCTACCTCGTCGGCAAGCGTGTTATCAAGGTGATACGGGTCCGGCACGAGAAGGAGAGGCGCGTGCTCGCCGACCAACACGAACTCCAGGACGTCGCGCCGCCACGGTCCCAGTACCGGAGGACCGACCCGACACTGGATGAGAGCCAGCAGAGTCTGAACGGGGAGGAGATAYTTAAAGAGGGGCAGAAAACGACTGTGCTTTAGGACACGTGGGTCGGCCAGCGAGGGACGTTTRATACATGACCGATTGAGTGGTTTTTGTGTGCACCCCGAAACATTAACTACTGTCCACTCATCAAGACTGCTGTCGGGTGGATTTCCTGTTCCTGTGCAACAAACCGACGCAAACAATCGGATCAGATTGACTTTTACACCATGAAGGAAGCCTCAWGAAGTTATCTGCATCTTGGCCACTGTTTAACTTTCAGGGAATTCTGTGCAATTTCTCTTTTCGTAAGCCAAAAAACATGGGTAACAACTGTGATATCTATCCAGGCTGAGTTACTCCCTTTCCTCGATTCGTCAAGCATTTAAGCATTTCCTCCACCTTAAAATACAAGTCAGGAGAAATCGTTACATCATATTCTCCTGATGTGTTCTCAGGACGTTGACTGATCACAATGACTTCAAACTAAACAATAAACTGACCGAGATATTTAATAACTTAAGACAGGAGTCAAATGGGAATAAATATTTGAAAGCCCATAAGTTTAGAAATACTCTTTCCAGTGATGTCCGAACGTTTTATCTGGTCTTTTGTTAAAATATAAAATAATGGCACAACGCTGCAGAACGTGGTAACAAAAACTTCAAAAAATCAAAAAAAAAGTTATTTAATATGAGCGTTTACAATGAGAGCCTACCTGTATATCTTGTTTAAAATATGATTGTTTCATGTATTTTTACTAGCTTTTATAAATTATTTACGTTTTTTTGCTCCAAAGTGGCTGATTTTTATTGTTGGGGTTAAACAGAATAAAAATGATTACACACTGCAGTGCTTTATTTGATCATAATATTGTTGTCTTTTTCTAGAATTCTTAAAGCACTTTTGTTGATGTTTTTATTAATAAGTCAAACTGCGCCCTCGTGTGGTGAGTGAGGGGAAGACATCTTAAAATAAAATAAAACAACAAAAAAATCTAAGTCAGTAAATTTGTTATTATTGTGAATTGAATGTTGTACGCTAAAACGCAGGTGTTTTTTTTGTGTGTGTGTGTGTGTGTAATTACTTTATAATGTTGGACGTGTCGTTTTAAACGCTAACTCCACCCTCGCTGCCCCTTAAGCCGGGTAATTACGCCGGCGCACCAAAAAGGAGCAGACCCAGAGGTTATGGTCTATAAAGCTCTCACCGAGGCAAAAACAACAGAAATACGTTTGTGTTAGGAGGTTCGGAAGACTTCTCCACGCCACTTCAGATGAAYGAAAACATAAATGTTYTCCGACGAGGATGGGATTCGAACCCACGCGTGCAGAGCACAATGGATTAGCAGTCCATCGCCTTAACCACTCGGCCACCTCGTCATGCCACGTCTCCGGAACATGGCTACAACAATCCGCCAGGTTGACGGTGCTGAAAGTTTCTTTTCTGTTGTGCGTGTTGTTGACTTTCACACGAATTGTTACACATCGTGATTAAAGAGTGCTGTATTCACATAGCGTCAGAACGTGCACGTGTTCTTTTATTATATCTATGGTGTTCTTTGCTAGCTGCACATAGAAAAAGTGTCTTACCTTTTCCGTACACGTACTGCTCGTTATACTAGTCCTGTCGTCTATAAACTTCGACGTTGCGTTGAAACATTTAAAAATGTATAAAAGCAWAAACTGTTGCTGAAAAATAAGGCTTTATGCTAGCAAAACATGTTAGTAAGTGTTCTTTCTCTGTATTTTTAATCTGTCGTTAATGTGGACGTTGTCGCCACCTCGTGGACAAACTGGGTATTACAACTTCGTCATCTCTGTCAATGGTTCCCAAAGTTGGGGATCGATGCCCACAGTGACCCGCAGAAACATCAAGGTGGGGTCCTGAAAATATTTTTTAGATTAATTACAGAAAAAAAAGGACAAAAAAATTGTCTTTGTTTTTACAAAATGATAATATTAGTGCACTTACAATGGACAAAAAATAGCGTAATAAATAATGTTCCTATGCTCTTATTTGATGTGAAAACAAGGTTTATCAACCGACAACAGCTGGGGGCACATGTCTCTGTTGCTGGTATTTTGTGGGTCAAAAGCTGAAAAAGTTTGGGAACCATTGATCCAGATTAATGTTCTTTTCAAAACAAATAAAATCGAATTACAGGAATATTATTAGTAATATTGTTACGGCCCTGGGCCTTGTAAGCAGACACGTGTGTGTGTGTAGTGCTGCGCCTGCCCTCTTTTCTCTTTTGCGCAGGTGTTCTGGATTAAGAGGGCCAGATATAAGCGACCCACAAGACGCACAGGGGGCGACTCGCAGAGGGAGAGAGCGATCGGCTGTACATTCAGAAGGGCGTCTGCGGTCGTGGGTGTGGACTGGTTTGGCGTCCTCCTCTTCCTCCTTCCTTCCACCATGCTCTGGGCGCGTGGCACGGACTGGCGTCGCGTGCAGCGGAGCACCATCTTTCATTTTTCTTTTACTCTTAGTTTAGTTTAAATAAATGCTTTTGTTTTGATATTTTAACACCGCCTCGTCTCCCTATTTTGTTGCGGCTTGGAGCCGGCCGTAACAAATATAAACAGGGTCTGATCATCTAAAAATGGTAAATTGTTGTTTTATACATTTTTACTTTCTCAAATGGTTTTTGTTGATGTAAAAGCCTTATTGAAGTCACGACATATGAAATTGCATCATTTATTTAAGAAAGACTAACAATCACACAAGGTTTAAAGTTTCAAACCACCCAGATTCTTGTGTTTCCGGAGCTGACGGTGCAAAAATAAAATAAAATAACACCAATCCAATCAGTTTATTTCTGCAGAACTACAATAAACTCAGACWTCTCTCAGCAGCATCACTGTCAGGCTCATGTCCTCCTTCCTGACCACGCAGCGTTTGATTATTCTGCAGCATCTTCAGARGAGAACTCTTGACCGTTTCCACCTCTGGGAATCTCTATGGCAACATGAATCTGAGCTGCACCATCCAGCACCCTGACGAGCGCCTGGTTTCATCCACGGGAACATAACTGTTAGGACATGTCCTGATGCATCTCAGTAATCCAGGTAAAAAACCAAAAAGAAAAAATTTGTGTAGGTCTTCTGGACGGGTTCATTAGAGAAGAACCCGTCCAGAAGACCTACACAATTTTTTTCTTTTTAACTGTTAGGACATACTTTGATTTAGGACACTATTCAGCCTTAATGTCTCTGTCAGAGAGAAAGAGGACAAACGGATTAAAAGCCAAAGTTATTTCATCCGGAAACACTAAATCAGCTTAAAGAGATTTTAAAAATAACACCCGCATGCAACGTTTTTTTTCATGCAAACACCTGGGAGAGCTAAATCTGATTTTCTTCCCACAATGAAAACAATAAATAACCAATAAAATATGAAATAAAAGGTGTAAATCTTGTTTTTAAAGGTGTAATGACAGAGTTCAGCCACTAGGTGGTGCTAAACTCCACCTTAGAGTTTGTTTTACAAAGGATTGGGAGCTCTGAAAGCTTTAAAATGATGCTGAGTGGGTCAAAAACAGACAGACTGCTCAGAATCAGATGCAGGATTACAAATGTTGAATTTATGCTCTTTAAAAAAAACCTCTGGGGGGTTTGAGTCCTTAATTTGAATGCGAACCTCCAGAGAGCAGACAGCCTAAAACAAAAGGTAGAACGGTGGATTTGAGCACATTTGACTCATCAAGCTGTGATAATTGTTGCCGTAAAGGTTTTTATTTTGATGTGTAGGCGTGCTGGTGTGCCATCGGGGGGACTATGACTCAGATATTTCAGCATTTTTCTAGTTTAAACGCCACTTTGTCTCAAATCTGTGTCCTGAGGTGTCCTTGGAGAAGACAGCGTTCCTCCCTCCCCGAATCTTTTCAGATAAACTCTTCTGCTAAACAAATAAATGTGAGCATCAGCTGAAGGCCGCTGAAACAGAAAGAAAGCTTTTAATTTACAACAAATTCTTTTTATAAATAATAAAAAAACTCAACTTAAATCACACAACTTTAAAAATGAACTGATCCACAACAGAAAATGTAAAGTTTTATATATATATTTATTTAAAATGTTGCCCTGTATCATGAAGCTGCCACCACCGTGCTTCACTGTGGGGTTGAGGTGTTAAATTTTTAAACAATCTGTTCTGATGTTTATAAAATAATTTGCTGACAAACACCAGAAAGAAAGCTCAGTGATTGTTGCTTTCTTAAAGTACCTCGTTAAAAGTTTAGCTTCTTTTTTTTTTTTAAACCAAGCAGCCAAATTTATAATAGTTTTCTTTCCTCAAAGGGAGCGCTGACCCATTTTCTGACAATTTACAGAGTAAAAACATGCAAACAGGATAACAAGGCCTCATTGATCCTCATCTGAGCCTTTTAACCTGCTGTTCTTCAACAACAGATAATTATAACAGATTTAATTACACCTTCAGTTACAAACATCAAACCTGTGCACATCTGACACGGAGGCTGAAGGGAAAAGTAAAAAAAGCAGGACGTTCGGTGACAGAATCTGAGAAAAAGCAGGATTTCTTTGGGCTTGTGGAGGTAAAAAGGCTTTTAAATCATATTCTCATTGGCGTGTGGTMGGCCTCCCGGGAGCAGCTGCAGCCTTTATGTTCTGGATGTTACCGCTCTCTGTGACTCACCTACATTTGAGAAACCACATGAGCCTTTTAGAACAGGAACCGGCTCTTCTTAGTGCTGCCTGCTTGTTTTACACTCACCTGGAAAAGACCCACCGACAGCAATAATCMGACTTTTATTTGTTGGAGGATTAAAGGTGTCGTCGCAACAAAACCTGCAGAAGTTTCTTTTGTCAATGATCCAGAGAAGAGCAAAACGTAGCAGAATAAAAGAGAATAAAACCAAGGGAAAATGGACTAAAACAAAAGCTACAACAGGACAAATTTCAGCTTTAAGACAGTCAGTCTGTATTCAGCTCCTGAGGTTTGCAGGACGGGTGGGGTCACCAAAACACAAGCAGCTGTGTTCCTACAGCTGGTAGTTTAGGTGAACCTTACCTCTGTTTCTGCCAGCTTCGAACGCCGTCCAGACCTGCCGTGTACAGCTTCCCCAGGAAACAAGTGTTTCTTTACGTTTGTGAACCAGCTGAGGGTGTTGGACAGATATATCTGCTCCGTCCATYTAGAGCCGATCCATACATTAGGCTGAAATGGTAAACAATTCTGCGTGCAGGTCATTCTTTGGTTTTTTAACGTTTAAAGAAAAAGAAACCACGTTTTTGTTGTTTTTATTCTCTAACTAATTAAAAATCCAGTGTTTGATTTTTGCTTCAGCTATCTAAATCCAAATAAACTAGATTATTTGCATTTCCTGCAAAAATGTAGTGTGAATGCCTAATGCTGATAAATTATTGC